TCCCGCAGTGTGGCACAAATTTGTCACCAGGCAAATGCATCCCAACTACAGCAAAAAGGAAGAATGTCCACAGCAAAACACTTACGGGAATAGTCTCACTGTTGGGGTTATCAACGGGAAAAAATGTTGCGCTGGTCTTTAGAATTGGTGGAATCAGTGTGCTGGCTTAGAACTACATAAAAGACCAAAGGAAGCTTTCAAAAACTTCTTTCCAGGACTGGCTTGTCAGCCAGTTAAGCATTTCTTGCTGGGTATGCAACCCAGCATCTTTCAGATATTTGGGGCTGCAGCTCTTATTACTCAAGGCAGCATGGCCGACAGCCAGGAATCATGAGAGTTGTGATGCAAAACATTTGGAGGTTCTCCAGTGGCTCACCCCTCATTAATCATCCATATTTGCATTCGTTTGCATAGAAACCAAGCCCCAGTATTAGTGTGTGTGTGGGAGGTATAGAAGGAACTGTTAGGAGAACTTGTTTTAAAGCCACTAGCAATTGTCAGAAGAAAAGGCTGCCGTTGATGTTTTTAAAAATATGAAGAAAGAGAGGCTGAGCATTCTGGTGCTAGCTGGGCGATTGCACTAGGGCTGCTTGCCCCCCCCGCCCCCCCGCCCCCTGCTTCTCTTCGGGGCTTGCGTGGGCTTCAGGGTCCTGGGCTTCAGCCTGGAGGTCCAGCTGGCCAAAGATCTCCCAACAGCTGCGGATCTCCCTGGCTTCTGCCAGCTCTTCTCCAGAAACAAAACACATACACAAGTACTGGTCAAAGATTCAGTGGAGGGTGGCCAGGTGTCCTCTTTTGTAGAGGACAGGCCTCTGTTTGATGGATTATTCTCTGCTGAAGGGTTCCTCTGTCTGAGGAGCTGCACTATCCAGACCTGTTTAAAGGTAAAGACCCCAAAGAACCAACTGCAGTTCATATCCAGACAGGTAGACAAGCAGCTCCCCTCGTCACAGGCGGCTGCTGCACCAGGCCAGAATTTAAACAGAAAGATAGTAAAATATAAGAATTATTTCTGCCTCTGCATCTATGCAGATAAATTACCATGTGCAGATTTTTATGCCAGCTTGCACCTTTCCCCGCTCCTTTTTGGTAACTTAAAGGTGACCCCCTGAAGCATAAGACTGGAAGAAGTAGGTGGCTTGGAAGAATGACCACTTGGGCAACTAGAACACAAGCTAGATTTGGAGCCGGGAACCGTGATTAATCCAGGGCAGGAACAAACAAAACGTGGACTGCACTGGCAAAGAAAATAAAATAGGGATTTCCCGGCAATTTGTGCAGATGATGCTGTTTTTTGGGGTGGCTTTTTGGCCGTTATTTTAACCAGGAAGGCTGTGTCCATGGCACTCCTTATCCACTGTGGCATCGCTTCCGAACTTGAGAGGAGCTCTCTGTGGTGCTGAACCTCCAAATTAGGTGTGCCACCATGGATTGCTATTAAGCTCAGAGGAAAAGCTGGCATGGATAAGGAGCCCTGCTGTCACGCAGGTCCTCAGCCTTCCCTGTGCTTCGCCCCCAGGGAGATTAGGAACTGGCTTTCTCCCGCCTGGGAAAATCTCTGTTACTGAGAGAAAGCTGACCTGCTTTTGCAGAATGAATGGAAAGGCTTGCTCCTCCCCTCCTCCCTTCTTGTTCTCAGCCCTCAGCCCGCTCTGTTTTGTTCTGTTTTCCAGGCTGGATTGCACATTTCTGAGCAAAGCTGGAGGGGGGAGCAGGGGGGAGCTACAAAACACGCTGCAGGGCAGAGAAGGAGAGGGCAGTCCCAAAGAGCACTGTGGTTCCCAGAAAAGATGAATCAAGCAAAGAAAAGCAGGGGAGACTTCCCTCCGATTCACCCCGTGAACGTTTTCCATCTTCGCCCCTCTGTGCAAAGGGTGCTGAAGTGGATGGGCGAGGGCTGGAAGACGGAGCGTCTGCTGAATTCGGTCTGGATGCATCTGCTGGCATGCATGTCTATAAAGATGGAATGAGTGCCCGTTGGTAAGGGAGACACGGCAGAAACACAGTGCTGCCAGCACGAGGTGCCCTGGGGCTTGCGCCAGCTTTTGGCAAATGGCACCGAGCAGACCGCTTGCCTACCCAAAGGGGCCCTCGTCTTCCTCGCCACTGTCTTGGCTGCCCATTCAAGTTTGAAATTTCAAATTCGAAAGGCATGATCTGCCCACTGAAATGGGGTGACACATGGAACTTCCTTCCGTGCGTTCCTCGCATTTCTATGTCACCCGACAGCTAAAGATTAAAAACCTTGACGGTATAATATTATACGTAGCAACATGTGAGGGATCTGCTTTGGAGGTGGGAAGCCAAGAAATCGGCTTGCCTTTGCGCTCCGGATTCCAGTCTGCCTCTTCTGGCCTCTGAGCTTACCTTGAGTGCAAGGTGCGTGTTTCCACACACACCTGTCCAGAAGGGAGTCCCAGGGAGTCCATAAAGAGCTTGCACACCCACCATGCCCGTGCCGTTCTGCCTCTGCCCCCTGTGACTTGCAGGCGTTGCGAAGAATTCGCTGCTTTATGTACTCTGTTCAAAGAACCTGCTGGTGCTCCCAAGTGCTTGGAGACCCAGCCGGGCCCAGCTTGCTTCCTGGCCAGGGCCTAGCCTGGGAAGCAAGTCCGGCAAGCGCAAGAAAGCTGGACTGCAGCCTGATCCGCACATCCTTAATTATACATAGCACAATAACCATCTAAATACAAAGGTATGGAGAGACACACATGCACAAACGTATGTTTGGCAGTTTCCCAGCATCTGCTAGTCAGCCCAGGTCAAAGCCCGGGACTTTCTGATCCTCATGAATGATGAAGTCATCTACACCATCAACCCTCATTCAGACATTCCCTTGACACTATAGTCGGGGGTGTGCATGCATGTAGTTACAAAATATTGCCATGAACTGCCCCTGTTCTAATGCAGGATATTCAGGGTACCCTGATCTTGAAAGGTAAATTTTGCTGTTGATCTGTGCCATCAGGTCACCTCTGACTTACAGTGACCCTATGAATGAAAGCCCCCCAAAATGCCCATCCATGCCCTGTTCAGCTCCTGGTGCATGGTTCTGTCATTAGGAGCTGCCTTCCAACGCTTAGGAGCTTAACACCAGGAAACCTATAAGGCAGTGCAAGTACGAGCCAAGGCATGCATGCAAAAGAGGGAGGGATTCTATCTTCTGATGTATGCAATTGAAAAGCTGCACCGAACCCCTGGGAAAGCCAGCTGGAATCCCAAAGCACCTTGTCTGGAAATGCACCAGTCTCTGAAAAGAAAGCTACTTTTCTTTTCAAGATAAAGCTACTCCTTTGGATTTGGCAAATGCTTCCATCACAATCTTTAAATCAGCCCAGTTCCAATGGTGAGATTATGTTTCAGCTGCCCACAACTGGAGAACTACTTATCTCTGAACATTTATCACTGTATCTGCTCAGACATTTTCCAAAGGTGTTGCAAGAGTTCTCCTTTCAACCAGCTTTTAATAGCTAGCAAAGATGCCTTTTGATTCACATGTGGTAAGATTTGTTTTCATTTCTTCTGCAGTTTTTTGATTTGTAGAAAAGAACTAGGAAAACATGAAAAGGCTTACAATGGTAAGGCACTGGAATCCTGGTGGAATTACCTCTACCTCCTTGGTAGACATTCTGGCTTTTTCTGCAGCAAAGTAAATGTCCTTATCCTTCTAGAAATCCTTTTGTATGAAATGCATGTTTTGCAAGTAAGAACAATCTGCAGTATGGGCTGAATGCAGCTTTTTGTTCAATTGCTGGCAGTTGTTACATGCAGTATATTTTAACTATGGATTTTTAATCACGAACAATCCAGGACCGGATTGTGTTTGGTAGTAAACTATGGATTGCTTGTAGCTAGACCATAATTAAACCATAGTGCATGGTTGACATGTAACAGCAACCCCCAATTCAATAACAGCCTGTGAGTCAGCCTAAACTCAGGGCCGTTACACGCAAAAAGGACGAAAGCGTTCAGCTAAATTACTTGTGAGTGGTGAGCAGTGAAGCCGGGTCTCCCTGGAAGATCCACTCAGAAGCGAGCCCGGCCGACTTCGCCGGTGACTTGCTCCTAAGTAAACGGGCCGCTCTCTTGCTAGGAAGTCCGTCTCACTGAATGAGCGGGACTGGTGGGCGAACACGCGTCGGGATTGCACCCTGAGGAGGGAGGGACGGAGCGAAGGGGACAGGTGCCCAGGCAGGCAGGTGTCCACCCCGCACCTCCAGGCTCGGATCGGGGCGCGAGGGGAGGGGCAGGTCCCCGAGGACCGGGACTCGCCCCGGCTGCCCCCTTGCCATTCCGTGCCCAAATTCAAGCCGGCTGCTACTCGATCCGTGCGCGAGCGCCCGTTATTTATAGCCCAGGTTGCTCGATCCACCGGGCGGGCGGCCGGACGGGTCTCCGCGGCCCCTTCGAGCAATTCTCTCGCGCTGCGGCGCGCTCCCCTCACCCCGGAGCGTTAATCATCTTATTCCACGATCACGACACACGCGCGGCCCCCCTCCCCTCCCGCCCCCTCCCCCCCGCGCGCGCGCACGCGAGCGATTCCTCTCTTTTACCAGGAGTGATCCTCTCGCCTGCGCAACAGGGCGCGGAGGGGCGGGCGACCCGGAGGAGCGAACTCGCCTCCATCCTCTCTCTCCGCTGCTCTCTCTCCGCTCGCTCCGTCCACCTTCCTTCTCCCTCCCCGCCGCCCCCCGCCGCCCCTCTTCTCCAGCAGTTCTGCCTCCCTTTTACACCGCTTCCCAATCCGGATCGTGGCTCCTGGAGCGGCCCGCGGGGACTCCCGCCGCCCATGCCTGGATCGAGGCGCGGGGCGCGGAGGAAGTTCATGCGGCCGCTGGCGCGGGTCGTGGGGCGCCCGCGAAGCCGGGGGAGCCGTCCGCGCCCGGGGCAGCCCCCGCGCCTGGCCGAGCCCGGGCAGCCGAGGCAGCGGCCGCCGCTGCGCCGGCGCCTCCGCGCCCCCGTCCGGGCCGCCGCGGCTGGATGCTGATGGACCGCGCAAGATGTTCGTCTCCAGTTTGCTGGACTTCCAGAACACCCGCTACGCCAGGTACGCGCCGCGGGGAGCGGCTCCGGCGGGCGGCCCCGGGCCGGGGACCCGCCTGCCCCCGGGCGAGCCCTCGGGGGCGGCGGCGAAGCCCTTCTTGCACCGGTGTCCCTCTCACAAGGAGCTGGGAGCGCCGAGGGGGCGGTCTCCCTCCCCTCCGTTTCAGCCCCACAACAACCTTGCGAGGTAGCCTTGGCCCACCCGGCCCCCCAGTCGCCTGCGGAGCTCAGAGGCGGAGAGCCGGGGGAGTCCCACCCCAGCCCTCTCCCCACTTCGCCACGCTTAGTATCTCGGTGGTCATTTCGATTTGGATGCCGCCTTTTTACTAGCAATGGATTTGGTTATTTATATGCCACTTTTCCCCTTGCAAGGAACCCGAGGTGGCTCGCCCATCCCCTGGATGCTCCCCCAGCAGTCCTGGGAGGTTGGTTTGGCAGAGAACCTGCGACTGGCTCCAAAGCGGGCAAGCTGCAGCCCTCCAGACGTTTTAGCTCGCTCAGCCAGCAGTGTGGGAGCATTCAGGCCAAACCGTCTGGAGGGCCACCACTCGCCCAGGCCAGCCGGTGCACCACTCTGGCTCTTGCCGTGCCTGTAGGGTGGTCGGGGCTCATGCCTGGGGGGACTAGAACCCAGAGCTCCTCAGTTTGGTGTAACGCTCTAACCACTACGCTATGCTACACTGGCTCTCCTACAGTGTCTCATGGGTGGCTGTTGTCAGCCTTACAACAACCTTGCAAGGTTGGTTGGTACTACAGATTGCCGACGAGGGAGCCGACATCTTGAGCTGAGCTTCCGGACCGTAAAGAGGCCGTGGCTTTACCTGGGAATTCTGTGGTTTTTATCATTCCTGTATCTTTCAGCAGCGGTGCTTACTTCTTTCTTGCCTTGCGTCTTTGTCCAATTGGGTCTCCTAATACCCTTCATTTTCCCTTCATCCACTCTTTGCCTCTCATTTATTTCTGGTTGGAGAACAGGGAATTTTGGTATCCTAAAATTCACCCCAGCAGGAACGGGACCTTGCCTGGAAGAGGCACAGATGGGGGTGTGGGTGCTTTGCAGAGGGAACAGGAGAAATTTCTTCCAGGCGTCCCTTCTTGTCCCTGTTCCGTCACACCTTGCGAATGCCCCCTATGCAGCTGAAGGGGGTGTTCGGAATGACTCCCCATGGCAGGAGCCCCAAATGGGGCCATCTCTTGCCCCTACAGATGCTTGCAAAGGTACAGTCTCCCTGATGATTTTGGTGTTGTAGCTGATTCCCTTTCACAAACAGGGTGTCCTTAGGAGACAGCTCCTTGAAAGACGAGGAGAGACTTTCAAGCAGGGGTCATTAGCATAGGCAAATATGTGCTTTTATACGTGCATTTACTGATTTGGTGCCATGGGCCTGAGCCCTGGTTCTTTTCCATAGCTAGCACCACCCTGGGCAAGTTAGTAGAAACTGCCAGAGTTCTCAGTGCAGATCAGCCAATGGAATCTCTTAAGATTCTTCACTCTTGACTCGGATGCCGTGCCAGTGTTCCCAGTCCGTGTGGGTTACACAGGAACCTGGACCCCCACCCCCCAACAAACCCACAGGAAGGGGGCTTGCATCAGTCTTTCTAGCCCAGCACCAGCTTTCTAGGGGTTCAGGCAGGACTCTTTGCTAGCCCCGTAACCTGGGCTTCTTCTGCAAGGGTAGCATTGACCTACAGCCCTTCCTGTCCAATGACAGTCCTTCAAAGAGAGGACTGTCATCTATAAAGGTGGATGCATGGCCACCTTCCGAGAGCAAGAACAGTGAGCTTTGGACTTGCCCGACTGCAGCCTTCCAGCGGGGGAAGAAAGATTTAGGGCTCAGTCGTCTCTACGTTTAGACAGATAAAGACTTCTCTTGTTCCTGTGTAATCCTGCATGGGATTTGAACCCTTAGCTGGTTCCCCCACAGCTTCGGAATCCTTGCTGGCAGGTGTCCAAAGCTCACCTGGTTTTGCTTGGATCCAAGCGACTACTGGGGCGAGCTTTTAAAACCTGGCTTGCCAGAGCATCGTGCGCAGGGCTTTGCCCCAGAATCTCCTAAAACAGCCCTCTGGATGAGCTGGACTAGGCAGGCCCCACTGCAGATGGGAGTTGTAATCCAGTAGGCAACTGACTTGAGAGAGGCTGTTCTGCCACTTTGTAAATGTGGATGCTACGAATATCCAATTTCCCCCACGCTGGCTGTGAATATATAACCGTTTTCCCCAATCTGGTGCCCTCCAGATGCGCTGGGTTACAAAACTTGTCTGGATGTGCACACACACCTTTACAATTTGGCAAATGCGACCACGCAAGTGTGAAAAAGACTCCACATCTGGAAACTGCTCGGTCCCACAATCAAGGAGGCACTTCCAGACTTGGAGTTTGGAGCACACTGTGGGCGGCAGAGATGCCTGGACTCAGTGGGAGGGTTGGGGGCCAAGTGAAGGCAGTGGGCAAGACCCCCTCCCCGGTGTCCCTCCTGCGGCGGTTCTCCCTTCTCACTGCCATTGGCAGCCAGCCGCCGCTGCTCCTCGTTGACTTTCTCATCACGGCCATTGCTGGCTTGGCAGGCACAGGGGCCACGGCAGCCGTGGTGTCTCCACACCTCCTTTCTCCCCACCAGGACTAGCAGGGCTGGAGCAGCAGGGAAGGGGAGGGGCAAGTCCTGGGGATGCTGGCTGGTGGGCCCCTGCCAGGCGTGAGCCCTTGGCAGATGCCCAAGAGTGCCACCTTTGGTTCTGGCCCTGCTGCTTGTCATACCTCATGGCACCCACCTTTAGAGCTACCAGGAAGTCTTGGGACAGGAACGCCACAATGTGGCTCTGGAAAGATTCCACAGGACATGCTTGGGGGGGGGGGGGGGTCTATTTTGGGGTCCTCTTCATTTATTTTATGTATTTATTTAGCAAACTTATATGCCGCCCCATTCGCCAAAGCCTTGGGGCAGCTTACAAACATAAATAAGTATCGGTAATACAATTGCATATAAAATTGGAGACATCCTGGCCAAAGTTGTTAAAATCAATAAATAATATCAGCAATTAAAATGACGTTAAATAAAAAGGTCTTGGCCTGGTGCCGAAAAGCAAATAACCCATCATCCCTATCCCTGCTTGCTTGCCATGCAAAAATCCAGGGAGCTGGCGGGCCAGGACATCTCCTGCTTGTTTTCATCCACACCCTCTATCTGGGCCTGGGTGAAAGTCAGGTGCTCAGTGCAGTGTCTCTTCTCATGCGTGGCTGGAAACATTCTGTGCAGTTGTTAAAAAAAATCTACCGTGGAAGGTGTGTTTTTGGTGCCGTCGGGAATATGAACTTTTAATTGTTTTTCACTGGAAAAATTCTGGGAGGTGCTTTGGCTTTGGGTGGATGGGGATGCACTGGAGTTGTGTGACGTGGAAAAGAATGCTTGGAATAAACCGATTTAGTGTTACTTTCCTATCACCCCAGCGAGTCTCCTATGGGGCTCTCTTCTCCAATTCACCCTCACAACGTCCCTGTGAAGTAGGGAAAGCTGAGCAGGAGCAATTGGCCTCAAAGTGACCCAGCGAGCTTCACGGCCGGGCAGGAACTAGAACCTGGATTTCTGTGGGTAAACGAAGCTGCGGAAAGGGAGAGCAACAGAGGTGATGCCGGAGGAATAGGGCCAGAAGAGTAGAACAGAAATGGGGTCGGGAGAAGACCTCTTGCCCCCACTCGGCACTCGCGCACAGGCACCGAATGGAGCAAGCCGCTTCAGCTCCACTCTGTCCCATTCCACGCATCGTAAAGCCCTCCACTCCACGCATAACTGGGTGATGCTTCAGCATTCCTTACCGGGGATTATGGATTAGCTCCTATGCCACCAGCCCAAATTCAGCCATGACGTAAATGGAAGAACAGCCGTGTCGCTTACGCGCCCGGCATGAACGGGTCGGGTTGCCCTGGCTTCCTTCCCACCTCCCATGGGCCGTCTGATCAGTGGCTTCCTCCTGTGCTCGCCACCCTGGAGGTGTAAGTTACATGGGCTTGGCATGACGCTCCGATTCCCAGTCAAGTGTAAGTTACACGCCTTTGCCACTTACACACTTGTTGGGCGTAAGTGGGTCATGAAAGTGTGTAAGCCATGCAGTCTCATTAACACTTATGTTCACAGCCGTGCCGCAACAGATGTGGGGACTTCAGATAGATAAATACCCTTTGCTCCGGGGATCTTGGAATGCACAAAGGACTAGTAAATTAGCCTTTTTATAATTAAAGTAGCAACTGTATTTATCAATTCAGCAGGACGGCTTCTTTTAACCTGTCCATCAGTATGGGGTGGTATAGAATTGATGATGGTGATAACAGCAGCTGTTGCTTTGGGAAGATGGATTCCTACTTACTAATTGCTAACTTTTGTTTTAAGCATCTGTATTTCTACCTGGCATTCTCTGGGCAGGGCTTCTAAGCATGAGAAGAATGTTTCCATGGGGATGAGGAGTGGGGAAGAGGTGCATGTGATGGAGGACAGACCCATCAAGATGAGGCGCCTGGTTACGGGTCAGGTACCTTTGGTGGAGGATCCGTGCCCGTTCTGCAAAATGGACCCAAACACTCACTGCCTCCGGCCATATGCAAAATGACTTTCCCTTCTACAGAGGAATCCTTTGTAAAAAAAAAAAAAAAAAAATCTAGGAAGAGCACCTCTGGGCAAAAGCAAAGTAATTCTCAAACAACACTATTCCTTTGTTTTCAATGCACTTTGAAATGTAGAGAAATAACAATATGCAACACATCTGTCATGTCTGTGATTGCACAAGACTGATCGATGGAATAGACAACATACCACAGCTGCAAGGTGAGCAGGCATTGGCATAATTTGTGTAGAGATGCAATGCACCTCACCGTAATCAGGTGACGATGGCCCGGTGCCCCGCGTGCCTGCAGTTTAGTCTGCTGCCCAGGGGTTCCCTGTGGAAGGGCAGATTCAAGGCCAAAAGGCTAGGCCTCCCTGCGGTTTTCATGCAGCTGGACTGGGACTGGCC